GAGCACACAGCCACACAGGAGCCACATCATCGCTTTTAACTGCAGCAAGAGATGCTCGGAGAGAAGTCGTGAACCGCCGCTCCATTAGAATTTAATGAATCACAGCATGAAATTGTTATTAAAAACGAGGAGAGAAGAATAAAGAGCGAAGCCGCAGTTTTAAATAAATGTTGATTGAAATTTCAGGAAATGCATGTTATTTGCCAGAGTTCTGCATTGAGATAATCATACTTTTATAGCTGTTTTAGTCAAACACGACATGTAGTGCTCAAAGTGTTGGAGATGACATTTAGCTACACCAAACCTTAGCTGTAAAATAAACTGTATTGTGGCTGATCCTTTGCGTTTTTAAAGTTCATAAATAGAGTTGCATTTTCATTTTTCAAGTGTTGGATCTACCACCAAGAAGAAACCTTTTACCAAACCCAATATGTTGTTTCTTAAGCAATCAAACATGCCTTGTTGGGATTTTGTGGAATGGACTGACAAAAATCTATCTTTATGTTCTTGTGAAAAGCAAACAAAAACATTTATAAGTGACCACTCAGTTAACTAAACTGTCTGTGTTTTGACTTTGGAAAGAAGCTGGAGGATTAATGTTGCTCAGAAAGGCTTGTGGTGCTGTGGTAGCTCAAGCAACAACTATTTATTAGCTCATCAGTAACTAGTTCCATTTACTCAGTTACAGTTAGTTGAATAACTTGTTAGAAAACAAAAAGCTTACTGCATCATACTTTTTACTTTATTTGAGTAATATCATTATGAAGTATTGCTTGTGTTGTATGCAGTGTTTCTTCTGCAGAAATTTGTCATTTGTAATTATTTATTTGTATTATTTGTTTTTTTTCATTTTAGTCTTTAAAAACATCAGAAAGTGCACATAACTTTCTATTTTTGTCACTCTGATGACATCATTTTAAAATATTTAATCAGATGTTATGATCAGTTACTCAGTACTCAAGTAGCCGTTTTGCAAAATAATATTTTATTCTTACTTGAGTCATTTTTTTAGGATGGCTAATTTTTACTTGAGTAAAACTATATTGAACTAGTGCTACTCTTTTTTTTACTCTTTTGCCACTTTAGTAGAAAGCAGAACTGAATATCAGTTTCTTAACTTCTTCATCAATGACTTTTTTTAAAGAAGAAATAGTAAAAGAAGAAACAAAAATAGTGAAATGTAATAGGAAAGAGTGAAAGAGAGATTAGAAAATATGTGTCATATATATACAGTATATATAGCAAGACAACACACCCGTCATCTTGGCATCACAGCAACAAAAATGCATATCTATATAATTATAATGATTATAACCTTGCTGAAAGGTATACTGTACNTAATAATAATAAAACGGAGTGCTTTTTGTGGCGTGATGTAAGTTTATGTTCCGCCTTAAAGAATAAAAAGTATCGGGGAGTTTTGGCACAGTGACGGCCTTAAAACAACAACTGTTTTGAAGACAAACACAACTTCAGTTGTAAACTAACACACACTTTAGGTAAGGTAAGGTAAAATTGATTTATATAGCACTTTTCAGCAGCAAGGCGATACAAAGTGCTTCGCATGATTCAGGAAGTGAAACAGACAAATAAAAGAAAGAAACAAACAGGCAATACATTATAACACAAATAAGTATAAATCTAAATAGGTGAAAAGGCTGAATTTAGTTTAGTTTTGTTTATTTCAAACATGTATACAAAACAAAACAAAAAATGATAAAAAGTGATAACAAAATTTAAAAAATTAACATATTTGAAAAGGAATGGAAAGACGTCAAAAACTTATTTAATCCCACCCTTCTCCGAAGCTCATTAACAAAAAAATTATAATAATAACAGTAAATTCTTCTTTTTCCTTATTCTAAGTCACAATAAATGAGAATACTCTAAGACATCATAGCATACTTTGTTTATTAACCTCTGGGTTTCATAGTACTAATCATTGMATGACTATCTAACTAGTTTAAGTGTGACTAAGTAATCTGCATAATATATATTAAGTTAATAGAATAAGACAACATCTCAATGTTGTGTGGGTCAATATGCTGCTGGATGCCTCTTTTGTGTGCAAAAATAACATGCCAATGACCAAAAACCATCAAGAGATTTACTTGATTAGTGGAAATCAGTTTATTCCTTTTTATTCCTTTAAGGCCACTTAAAATTTATTTTGGTAAAAGATGCRAAGTGTGAAGTTTACTGAGAAATATATCAACTACGGTACTCACACTYTTCACTGTCAGATTATTAAAAATAGTTACTTATCTAAAGTATGTTTGTCCTGTAGAGCTGAAAAAGCTGCAACAGATACAAAAGTGCAGAGTCTCCTCTTTTTATTACATTTTTACACTTTATATCAGCAAATGTAGGTGGTGTGACATTAACAAAGACAAATCTCTGTGAAGAATCCTTTTCATTTGAAATATACAACTTATTTCAGTAACCTGTTAGACACACGCCCTTGGGTGTTCAGCAGCTATTAACTTTGATTTGTTTAATTAATCGTATTTTTTTACAAATTAAAATAACAAATCACCATTAAATAATGAGATGCATTGGTGTGAAAATCTGGTCCGCATTGCTACAAAAAATAAACTCCATGCACATCTGGGCCTGTCTTATAGGGGCCTGCTGCCCTCTTGCCTGCAGAAGAGGCATAACACGGACGTTTGGTAACAACCAGCTGAGTTTGCATGCAGGAGACAAGAAAGCTTGCACATAAGACAGTTTGTTTCTTATTCTAAAACATGGGCTAATATTGTATGATGATAAAATTAAAAGGAATCTAAAAAGAATTACAGCCTTTAAGATAAAACTATTATCACAAGTCAGAGGGGTAGAAATGATTCAAAAATGTGTATCTGTTGACTTTGAGAAAAACTAAACGACATGACAGACATCTAACTGTGTGTGTGTGTGTGTGTGTGTGTGTGTGTGTGTGTGTGTGTGTGTGTGTGTGTCAGACAAGAGCATTGATTTGAACAGACAGCCTGCTGTCCCAGATATCATCAGAGTTGGTCCTGCAGTCCGACCTTTGACCTTCCCAGATGGTGACAACACTCCTCCCTGTGTGTTTTTTTGTAATAATCAGAAACAATATTTTAATTAATTTAGACTTAAGTCTCTCGATGATGTGAACCGAAGGATGGACGTGAGGATTAATATCTTTTGCTTCAAATGAAACATGATGCCGTTGACAAGTTTGTGTTTCTTGCCAAACCTTTCCCAGCGTAGTTAAGTCTTTTCTCTTTACCCTTTTTCTTTTGGTGCAATAAAAATCCGGTGAATTTTTCCAGAATAATTTTACGGGACGAAAACTTCTGGTCTTTGCGAGTTCATTTTCTAAACCTGCAGAAGCAGAACGACGACTACTTCTTTGCTACTCTAATATATTCATTACTGTCATTAACCTTTCGGATGCACAGTCCCCTTATCTAATTATCCCCTTATTACTTCTGAACACACACTCACACACTTACAGCCCATCCCCACCCCTGTTACCCCACATGTTGTTTGACAAATGAGAGGTCTCGCCTCATCAAGCACATGACAATGTAAACAGATGGGAAGTGCAGACAGGGACTCGTGCCAGCTTGATTGAACACACACACACACACACACACACACACACACACACACACACACACATCTCTCTCATATACAATATATATATATATATGTATGTATAGAGAAACCACAAGACAACACACCTGACATCTTGGCTGTGCACCTACAGAAAAAGAGATAACAAAAACACAGCAACAAAAATGCATGATTATAGCCTTGCTGAAAGGTATACCTGTATATATAAACATACCCATACCTACATCCATAGTAGAATTAGTGGTATTCTTTTGGGTACTCTTTCCATTGGTTACATTTTTGAGGAAACTACTGCATGTAGTTTGTGAGTTACTGATAAGCTCAGGGATTCTGTTCCTTGGGATGCTTTGCCTTTTTTAGGTAAAGTTATATTATGGTCAGATTTCAGGATTTAGCTGCTGTCATAAATAGTAGATATAAATCAGTAAATGTAGCTACAATCCAAAAAATGCCTATAATGTCTAAAAAGCATCATCTTTTCACATTAAAACTTAATTTCTACACATTCTTTCTACTTCTCTGCTCCAGTTTGATCCAACTTTATCGGTGACGTTCCTTTAAACGCCACCTCTGACTGTAACTCAGGCGTGTAAATAACTTTGTACGGTCTGACTGCTCACAAACTGTTCTCACACTGCAGGGCCCTCCCCCTCAGGACAGTAATATTGATGGACCGATGCCCTCAAACACACTGCACACTATTCTCCTCGCGACCTTTGACCTTTAAACTGTGCCACGACCTCATCATGATGATGTACAGCAGGCTCATTGTCTCCATGGTGACGCGTACCGGTTGCATCAAGCAGCGCCACAGGGGGAGTGTGAGTTNCACACACACACACACACACACACACACACACACACACACACACACAGTCTAATGTCATTAACATATGTAGTTATTTGAACAACTGTTCGCTCAGAGACTCCTTCAGAAGCTAGGAGAAAACTGCTAACAGAGGGGTGTTTACAATTATCAACCAATGAGAAAATATCCAATTTAATGATTTTTTTCCTGCTTTGAGAGTTTTTTAAAGACGTGAAAGAGAAAAAAAACAAATTTAATAAAAAATAAAATAAAATAAAAAAATTGATCTTGCAATTCCGTTATTTAACCAGGCAAGTCGGCCTGGGCCTGAAGACAACCTATTGTACATGTTTTTGTACATGTTTTTGTCTGATAACTGTGCAGGAGTACTTCATTTTAGTACAAAGCAGTATTCTGTTCAAAATGTACTTTTCCTAATTTGTCTCTGCTCTTTGGGAGTTTATTAATTATATTAATGAATATCATGTATTGTTCACAAAAATGGCAATTAAAATTCTGCACAGTCTCACTTCATTGACTTAAACTACAAACAACAGATCAACGCTCATAAAGACACAACAACAATAAATTAAAAACAGCAACATACAGTTTTAATAAGAAAATACTATTTTGTTCTATAGTTATTCCAACTGTCTTCAGTTGCACTGTTCACAAAAGGCACTCAGTACTGGAAAAAAAACTATCAGCATTTAAAGCACATTTTAAAGCAGTTTAGTATTTATATTTGCTACTTTTTTTATCTTTTATTATTTTAAAATTCAGATTATGAAATGTAGAGAAGCAAAACCACCTTGTATCAGAAATCTTTTCGGAATTGAAGCTTTTCAGGTGAAGCAAAATACATTTTTACTGCCTTTGAGGCACATTTAATAAGTAAAACAGCATCAAAATGGTTTATATCCTAGCTTTATAACATAACAATATAACGTTTAGAAAAACAGTTCCTAGAAGTAAACAGAATAAAAGTGTCATTGTGTATCCGAGGACTTTGCTTTATTCATATTATAATATATAATATTTTACTTACTGTTAACAGAATCTATAGTTTTTGAAGCATTTGTGGGGAAAAGAAATGTTCAAAAATACAACCTGTAATAAAAAAAGGCAGAAGGAAAAACTGTAACACTGCAGTGGTTTTATAATAATGAGAGTGGATCGTGATGTTAAACCTGGATTCAAAAGTTTCATAAGTCTGTCCTTATTTTGGGCACTTGATGCTCCAAACATTCAGTAACAACTCATATTATCCAACGTGTGTTTATAAAAAGCAAAACTCCCAGATATTTTAATTAAATGCATCATTTTATCTGATTATAATCATAGCAAACATTCTGTATTCCATCATGTGGAAACACCCTGAAACATTTCACTTTTTAATTCTTCTGATGTGATTTACTTCACTTTCACAGCTGTAGTTTTGTTTCTACCAGTCTGGGAGAATATTAGAAAATGAATCAGGAACTTGTGCAGCAACGTGTAATTACACAAGTAAAAACATCAGCTTCAAAGCATAAAGTTTCGTACTGTTTTAAGGATTTCTTTTGTATGTTTTGTTTATGTTTGCTCATGTCATCCAGTCCTTTTTTTTTTGGTTTATTCATACTGATTAATTGTTCCCGTTGCTTTTCTGTCATCCYTGCTCCTCGTTCAACTCGTCCCTGCTTCACATTAAGTCGGATGGGGAGATCCCGCTCGGTGGAGTTTGATCAGGTGCAGCAGGAAAGTTTGGGTTTATTTTTGGGAGAGTCTAAATTCGGCAGCGACTGATAGTGTCTTTTGTCTTCAAATGCAGCATGCTTTTTCACCAGCCTGTCAGGAGAAGAAGAAAAAAAGAAAAAAAGTTTCATTAGAAAATCAGCTGCAGGTATGAGCAGATAGAGAAAAAAAGAAATATATTATAATATAATA